TTGGTTAACATGTCTGCGGAATTCTCATTCGTATGCACCTTCATGAGAGAAATATCTGCGGGATTCTCATTCGTATGCACCTTTATGACATACTGCACGAAATGATATCTGACGTCAATTTGCTTGGTATGAGCATGATGAACTTGATTTTTCGCCAAGTGAATCGCACTCTGACTGTCGCACCACTAGTTCACGTTCTCCTGCTCAATCCCCAAATCGTCTAGAATACCCCACAACCATAATGCTTCCTTCACTCCCTCCGCTATGGTCATGTACTCGGCCTCTGTAGTAGAAAGTGTCAATGTAGCATGTAATATCGATCGCTAACTAACTGGAGCTCAATGTATCCTGAATACATAACTGTAGTAGATCGTCGTCTATCTAGATTGCCTGCATAATCTGAGTCCTCAAACCCGTTAATCTGACATGTATCTCTACCAAAGCACAGACTCGTATCAGCGGTATCATTTAAGTACCTCAGGACCCACTTTATTGCTTCCCAATGTGCCTTTCTCGGATTTGCTATGAATCTGCTGACCATACTGACCGCCTGTGAAATATCTAAGCGTGTACACACCATGGCGTACATCAAACTGCCAACTACACTAGCATAAGGAACACGCTCCATGTGTGCCTTATCTTTAGTTGTAGTGGAAGATCGTTTACCTGAAAGCCTAAAGTGTGGAGCCAATGGAGTCATCACCGACTTAGCATTTTGCATCCTGAATCTTACAATAACCCGCTCTATGTAGCCCTTCTGACTCAAGAACAATCACTGATTCGCTCGCTCTCTTCTAATATTCATACCCAATATTTTCCTTGCAGTGCTCATATCCTTTATCTCGAACTCTTTACCAAGTTAAAATTTTAGCCTATCTATCTCCACCTTTCTCTTATAACAAATAAACATGTCATCCACATACAAAGAAGGTAGATATAATCACCTCCATGAAGCTTTCGAATGTAAACACAACAATCATAATCGCTTCGGGAAAACCTATATTTCAGCATGAAGGAGTCAAATCGCTTGTACCACTACCGGGGAGATTGCTTCAGTCCTTAGAGTGACTTCCTCAAGCGACATACATGATTCTTTTTGTCCTCAACCTTGTAGCCCTCAGGTTGATGCATGTAGATCTCTTCATCCAAGTCTCCATACAAGAAGGTTGTCTTTACATCGAGTTGTTCCAGTTCAAGATCACTATGAGCAATAATACTCAATAGCACCCGAATAGAAATATGTTTCACCACCGGAGAAAATATCTCATTGTAATCCACACCCTCTCTTTTTGCAAACCCTTTAGCCACTAGTCTCGCCTTGTACCTTGTACCATCGAGCTCTGAAGGATCTTTCTTTCTCTTATACACCCACTTACAATCAATAGCTTTTCTTCCTACAGGCAACGAGATCACCTCTCATGTTTGGTTTTTCTGAAGAGATTTCATTTCCTTCTCCATCGCAGCCAACCAAGTCTCACTATCTCTATCCTGAATAGTTTCCTTGAAGGAGACCAGCTCATCATCCTCCACCGAGAGTGCGTATTCCACCAAATTAATCTGCCCATAGTGCTTCAGGGGTTGATCAGCCTCCAGCTTGAGTATATGCTTGTATGCTCGCCTTGACCTAGTGGGAGAAAAAAACCTCCTGTATTTTTCTCCCAGTGCAAAAACGCTAGAAACTATTCGGGTATTTATAACAGATCGCATGGATTTCTTGGGTGGGCCGCACTAGACTTGCCGCTTGCTGCTTCCGCGCTCGTGGGCGCGTTCATGGGTGCGGCCCCCACGTTCACACATACATGAGTAAAAGCACAAATAATGCGGGGGTATGACTTCACATGATAAACTGTCTCTAGGAATAAAACAAAAAGTAAAGAGGCAAGAAAAAAAATAAAAATAAAAATAAATGATAGCATCTACACATTATCTATATTAGATACATTTGAAAGTTGCCATCTTCACTCCACTTTAAACTCAGGTGAAGTCATTTAAGTCATCTTTGCCAGCTAAGTTCTTCCCTGAAATCTCTAGTATATCGTAAATGAAAAATACATGTAAAAACGAATGTCAGAGTTGTTCAAGTCAAGAGTAAAATTATGATATTCTTCATCGGAGCTATAAATTAATCATTGGAGGGCTCACATGCCAAAATTTAGAAGTTACATTTACATAATAACTAATATTTATAAGTTATGAAGCCGCAAATCGTACAAAAAGAAAAAATAAAACCATGCTGCTAAGGATAATAGCCAAATAGTATATATGTCACTACTCATACAAACAATCGCTAAGGTAACATCTAAAATGGTTGAGCTTCTAACACAAAACTATATAAATCTGTCAATAATAAATTTGATCTGTTGATACCATCAATTTGATGACAAAGAGGAAAATTCATCACTACAAGAATAGAGAATAAATTATGAGATCACATAATGCAAAAAACTTTTTTTTAAAAATATCGAAAAAAATTAGTCTTACAGTGGCAACAAAAGCCTAAAATCGCCCTTTTTCTCTCCTCTTTGAACTATGATCCAATTCTCATAATAATTTCTATCTCCATAATGCAATAACCCTTTCTTATGAACCTCCCCATCACATCTCATTAGGGGTGGCAATTTATGACCCAACCCATCAACCCGACCCGATCCGACCCGTTTATAATGGGTATTGGTCAAATTACATAGGTTGGGTCATAAATAGGTCAACCCGAACTTGACCCATTTATTAAATGGGTAAATTCGGGTACCCAAACCGACCCGTATAAGACCCGTTTATACCTACCCAAAAACCCATAACCCCGTCGTCCCTTCGTCTCTGCCCTAGATTTCCCATCTCTCTCTCTCGGAAAGCGGCAATTTGATTCAAGCTCAAATGTTCTGTTTCCAGAGTTGATCATTGGCTTTCATGTAAATGAATTTGATCATAGACATCTATTCCTCTTACTAGGGTTTCATTCATGCTCATTTATTAGTGAAATCTGGCTATCTTTTGATGTACTCTTTATCTCTGATTTGATTTATTTTGTAAGTAGACTGTTTGAATATCGACAATTAGTATTGAGGATCTAACCTTAACCTATTACCAGCACAATTAGAATTATCATTATGACTTGCTTTGGAAGAATTGGAATTTTTACAGGTTGAATTGTGTTATCTCTCAGAGTTCACAATAATTTAGCTGATGAAAAGTTCTGTGTTATCTCTCAGAGTTCACAATAGTTTTACATAAACCAGCTATGATTTTTCAGATGGTAAACAAAGGTGGAATAGGTACTGTCTTAAGTTATTTGATGCATGCGCATGAATACAGACCCTATCAGCTGTGATTTTTTTAAATTAATTTCATATTTCTTTCATGTCTAGCTCAAATAAGATATTACTTGTGTGAACCTTTGATCTTTACAGACCTTTGATATTATATCCTCACTTAGATATTTTTGAACAAGTAGGTTGCTATAGAGTGATGCCATGTAGTAGTAGTTTCATTTAAACAATTAAATGGGTCTTTATTTTTTATTTCATAGTTGATTCTCGCTATATCTCATTAGGTCATGTAACTATTTTTGTGGTCATGCTTTTGAGCCAAGACTAGCATTTATTTTGGAGAATGGAGATTCTTATCTACTTTAGTTTGCATACTGAAGACTTTGAGTATATCTTTTTATTGCTTCTGCATTGAGTATATTTTGTACTCTGAATTGACCTGAATTTGGTCTAGCGATAAGGAGAATAACATAGAAAGATGCCAAAAAACCAGTCCACAATTCAATGAACAGATGAGGTAGGTTTCATAAGAATCATTGTCACAAGTTCAGTAACCATTGTTCTTTTTTCTCTAAATGGTACTGCTCCCTTTTCGCAGTTTCTCAAAGTTTCGGTAATCATTTGTTGTAGCGTATGATCTGATCGTGACCCTGTTATATATCAGATGGTTTGACAATTCTCTTTGAGTTTCTATTAATAATATGCTACTATAACCAGCTGATATAACTGTTAATCTGATGGGTATGCTAACTTACTATGTGCATATAAAGCCTGAATGATTCTATAACAGGGTTGCTGCATATAAAGCCTGACAATGATTCAATGAACAGATGGGTATGATTCCAAAAAACCAGTCCACAAATGACTGCTGCTGCTGCTGCAAGTGTTGCTGTTGTAGCTACTGCTGGAGATGTTGATGCTGCTGTGACTGCTGAAGCTGTTGTTGCTGTTGAAGTTAGTGCTGCTGAAGCTGCTGCTGCTGTTGTAGTTGTTGTTGCTGCTGCTGTTGAAGTTTAGATTAGTCTGTGTCTAAAGAGCTGTATCGATGTATTTTTGTTTGTCGATATTTGCAATTTGTTGAAGTACATTTAAATACTGAATATGTCTTTGAAATAACTCCATGTTGTGAGTGGTGATAGTTTTTGTCTAAAGAGCTTGCAAGAAGTGTATTTTTGTGCTTGTATAAATTTTTTTATTAGTTATATGTGTTAGTATATGTCTTGTATTAGATAAACGGGTTATTCGGATTATATGGGTCGGGTCGGGTAACCCGTTTAATAATCGGGTCGGATCACATTGACCCATTTATTAAACGGGTTGGGTCGGATCACACTTATACGGGTCGGGTGAAATTTTATATGGGTCGGGTCGGATCGGGTCGACCTGTTTGCCACCCCTACATCTCATGCCCTCCCTCACCTCCACACCATGTCTCACCACCGACTCCTTGTTCCCATCTATTCACCGTTGAAAATAGGGGGAAAAGTGCAAGAGCGAGGCTGAAATTTCATTGGCAGTCTCCCTAAAATACCCTCTAATCCAAGAAACAAAGAAAAAAAAAGTAAAGAGGGCAAAATGAGAATCAAAGAGATGCTCCAAACACAGCCCTCGGCAGTTTGTAACTCCAGTTGCAGCTACCCAACAATCCCTCGGTAGTTCACATACCAGCAATACAACTTACCATACTGCACAACACAATTTTTGCTCCAAACACAGCCCACGGGCCGGGGAAGATGATACGAGTCAAGAAACTAATAATAACACATGATAATATACATTTCACATCTACTAACATTACGAACATACATGATGATTGTTCATTTCAGTTCTCTTTGACATATCCTGTGAGAATATACATACACTACACCACTCTCGAGGTGTCTTCCGCAGCATCCTGCAGGTTGCCTCACTGCTTGTGGGTAGTACCCTTCTCAACCATCCTCGTCAAAATTAATCTTATAAATTTATCAATCAAAATTAATCTCATAAATTTATTAATCATTAGCTGCCAAATCAGCTCCCATCTGGTTAAGAGATTTTAAGGCAATAGCTATTTCTTCATCAGCTGAAATATCTAGCGAAGAACGTTGCTATAATCAATATAGTGGAGAAAAAATTCATCATGTAAGACGGGCTCTCAATTTGTTCAAGAACTCCAATGTCTCTGAATAGGATGGATCGGTTTGGTTAACTGGCTTGCATGAATTTATATGATCCGTGCCATCCAGTACCTGAGTCAAGAATTGAAAGAAATGAAGATATAAAATTTATATGATAGGTGACAAAAGTGGATACAATTTAGCTAGTGAAGGATTTTCATAAGATAAAATCTCAAACTCAAAACTACATATAAGAACTAAAGAAGAATTTTCTGCTTATGATATTGCAATCTACGCTACTTACAACTAGTTCACCGAACCCTGGATAAGCAGATTCGATAGGTACGATTTCCATCCGAAAGGCCCATCCTCCATAAGCTTCAACTATTGGAGTCACCTGGGTCTGTTAACAGTTCACACCAACAATGTATTAGTCGAAATTACAGGAGAACCTCCGAGTGAGCATCATATTGAAATATGAAGAAGATTTCTTATACCTCACTAAAACTAAGAACCTCGAGATGTCCTTTCTTGTGGAGGTGGCGGACAAAATCATTCAGTTCAACCAATCTAGGGGATCCACTTCTTAGTTCTCCTATCTAAAAAAGATATTAAATCACCTTTACCAAGATGAGACCCACTGAATTCAACATTCAAGAAGTACACCTACTTTACAACTCTACTCACCGTGGGTGCAGGACGAAAAACCATGCCCATACGCCAGGGCATGTCTGCAAGTTTGCTACCAAAATGCGGACAGCTATAGAACACCTAGACGCAATATGAGTATTAGCTTGTATTACCGAAAGAGTGACAAAAAGTTAAATTGTTAGCTCAGTATCATACAATTCCAACGGTGTTATTCACAAAGTTGCTCAAATTACTAATCTTCGCTTGATACAGCATCTGCTTCACAACAAGGCCTCCCAAGCTGCAAAGATAAATTGCTGTAAAATAACCGTATTGTCTCAAGACTCTCAACAACAAAACATCACGTACTAAATTCTAAGAAGACTAATAATATGATCACATGAAAGAGCACATCATCTAGCCTCTTTGCTTTTCCAAGGTTTCATGCCTTCTACCCCTACAATGGCACAACAATCATTTTTCCTAAAAAAGAACCCAATTGGCATCATTTCCTCCACAGAAATAATGAGTTTTTCTAAATAGAAACAATCAGATATATTTGTTAACTACTGGATTGAATAGCAAAACAAATTGTTAAACCGCTAGTTCTGTGGAAAAAATGATACCTTTATACCATATT